TTTGGTCTCTCCCTCCTGGCTTTGGCATTCAAGCACAAGAACCTCTTTGAGAAAGTCTTTGTCTTCTCAACAGCTTTCCTTGCCTCCTTTTACAAAGGAAAGGCCTGAGAGGCTCAGCTGCCTGTGAAAGGAGGGGAGGATGCTGCTGTCCTAAGGCAGCACAGCTCAGATAGCAGCAGCCAGCATCAGAGTGCAATTCCAGCCTCAAATGTTCCTCTCCATATCCCCAAATCACTCCCCTTCCACCACAGAACAGTGGGTGGCTGCAGCCAGGAGGAGGAGCGATGTGCTCACCAAGCCTATCATGAGGTCCTACAAAAACATCTGGAAGCTGTTGGGGAAGAGGAGTGGGAGCAGAGAGCAGGATATGACCTCAGACACAAGACAGATCCCAGCTGATGAACCTCCCAATGTCCTCGTGGGGCAGCTGGGCAGCCTTGGCCCAGTGCTGAGGGACCTTGGGTGGGAGGGAGGGAATCCCTGCCCTTCAGTGGCTGTGCCTGCCTGGGAGCTGGACCTGCTGCCTGGGAGGAGAAAGGCACAGGCTGAGAGCCTGCAGCTCCCCTAGGTACTGCCCACCCTGAGACACTGTGGGCACCCCCTGAGCCACCCTCTGTCAACTGTGGGCATCAAGAGATGAATGCCCTGCCCAGCTGTGGCTCTGCATTAGATCTGACACCACCACTCTGCCCTTGCTGTGATGCAGGGGCAGGAGAGGAGCAGGATGCTCTCCCGTCACTGGGAGGGTTGTCCCCAGTGGCAAAGGCTGGGCTGAACTGCCCAGTGACCCCCAGTATCCTACTACCCAGGGACATGCCATGGGGCAGGGCAGGGTCCTCTCACTCACCTGATCTGGGGGACTGCAGAATGATGCCTGTCTGTGCCTCAGTTCCACGTCTCACCTCTCAAACTCAGAATCTGCCCAGCACTGAGGGCCGAGTTCCTCACTCAGTTGCTTGTCCTTGGACTGGTGTCCACATGTGGATGTCCCTGTGCTCCCCCAGTCATGGGGAAGAGCATGGAGTAGCTCCCCTTCTTCTCTTAAGCTTTCAGGCTGCTCATCTCCCCCTCGTCCTTGCAGAAGACAATTCAGGTAGCAGGGGACTTCCAGTGAATTTGCACAGAAAATAACCTTGTGGTTATTTTCCCATCCTGGTCCATCTGTCCTGGGAACCCAAGGGATCCTCTGCAATCCCATCAAGAGAGCAGAATTCACCCTCCTGCCCTTGACTCACTACAGAGGGACAAGTGCCTGCCCACGACAAACCAGATCTTGTGCCCAAGGCATAAAAAATGGTTACAAAGCCTCGTTCAGCTCAGCCTGGGGTGCAGTTTTACCCCCACTGTCGGGGCAGATTGAATGGGCCATGATGAGAGGGCACAGCTGGGCTCGGCCCTGCGGGACACCCGGGCTCAGGAGGGAGATGCCAGCTCAGTCCTGCCCTGTCCCTGCTCCCGGTGACGCTGCGGCAGCACCTGGGGAGACGAGAGGGAGTTCAGGACCCGGACCCGGCCCCCTCTGGCTCTACAGCTGCTGAGGACAAGCTCCCTGTCGTGTGCCCGTCGTGACATGCAGGTGCCGTGGCCTGGAAGCTCCTGGCCCAGGGCAGCTGCAGAACGGGCTCAGCCTCCCAAGGAGGAGGAACCAGTAGCCCCGAGCGGGCTCAGGATTGTGCCCAGCAGCCCCTGCCCAGGCAGTCTGCAGCGCAGCAACGCCTCCCTCCAGCCCAGGTGGCTCGAAGCTCGGTCCCAGCTGGCCGCGAACACTGCCCTGCTGTAGGTCAGCCACATCTCTCCTTCCGAGAGGAGCCGGGCCGAGGCAGCGCTGCTGCTGCAGCGGCTCCTTCCGAGCCCGCCGGGGCTCAGCGGGGAGGAGGAACCCGCGGGCAGCCGCTCCCTGCGGAGGGGACACGGGGGGACACGGGGGGGACACGGGGGGACACGGGGGGGACACGGGGGGGACACGGGGGGGACACGGGGGTCCGAGCCCGCCAGCCCCGCTCCCCGCGGCGCCTCCCGCCCCCTCCGCCCGCAGCGAACCCCGAGCCCCGGCGGGACCGAGCGGGTCCCACCGCCTGGAGCCGCGTCCGAGCTCGGCCACCACCTCCCCGAGTGCCTGCCCACCCCCCGCCCCTTGCACACAATCCCACCTCCCTTTTCTGAAAGCCACATGCTTTACGAGAAACAGCCCCTGGCGATGTGTCCGCAATGGTTTAGGGGTCCCAGCCCTGGCGATGTGCCCGGAATGGTTTAGGAGTCCCACCCCTGGCGATGTGCCCGCAATGCTTTAGGAGTCCCACCCCTGGCGATGTGCCCGGAATGGTTTAGGGGATGCCCAAAGGAGGCCGTGACCCCGTGGGAAGCCCCTGCCGATCCGTGGAAGCAAAGCCCCTCCTAGACAGGGAATCCACCTGAGGAGAACTGGAGCACCTAAACTCCCTGCCCTGGGGAGACAGACACGGACACTTGGCTGGGGCTCCCAAGGTTGATTGCCAGGACACCCTTGATCATTCCTCGCCCTTGGGAATGGGGCAAAGCAGCACAGTGTTGTTCAGCAAGGACCAGCTCACTTTGCTTCTGCCCTTGGAGCCTGAAGATGCTTCTTCCTACTTTGCTTATTTCTTCCTTGTTTTATGGACAGGAAACACCTGAACAGTTGAGATTGTCCAGGGAACTGGACTAGAACTAAATGCTCCTCGAGATGTTTTGCACCTGTGTGAGAGGAATACTTTTACTAAGGCCTTTGTATTGTTAAATCACATAGTTCTTATGAAACACATTCCTGCCATGGTCAGATGACAACTGATGGCAAGACACAGACTCAGTGGAACAGGAACAGTCTTTCTCCCTCTCTCTCCACTATCTTATGCATTATTTTCATAAAACCTGCTTTAAGAACTGGACATGAGACACAGGTGTTAGTGTGGCAAATGAATCCAAGTGGAGGCAGACTTTGTTGAGGCACATCTAACTCCGTTATCCCTGTCGGGCTGTGGTCGTTGAAAAGTCCCACAACACACAGAAAATGTCGGGGTCACTGAATACAGACGATGCAGAAATGAGCCTACACATACACCAGGATTCGGTTTTCAGGATTCTCCACAGAGCTCTCTCTGTGTTCCCCTTTTATTAACCCCTTCGGGTCAACAGCACCTGCTGTTGCCATCCAGTTAACCAGAATTCCCAGGACTTTTTGCAAACTCAATGTTTTGATTCACACACTCCTTCTCTGTTGGAGTTAATAATATAATAAATAAATAAATAAATAAGTCCCATAGGGACCATGGTGAACACCAGTATGGTGTGTAACGAATGTCTCTTTATTCAAACAAGTCACAGGTTAAATAGTAGTTTCAGATGATCCCACGTCACACAGGTAATCCCCTAAGCCAATCCCATACAAGCATTCAAGTGAGCATGTGCAACAGAGTCTTAGAACTACAACTGCCAGAATGCCCTGCGGCACCTGGTGTAGCCACACTCCACACTTCTCAGCTCCAAGGCTGAAACACTCCCTTTTGACTCTAATGAACTGAATGCAGGTGCATCTGACTCAGCTTGTTCCCACATCTAAGTGTCCAGAATAAACCTGGAGCAAGATGTTCAGAGTTCAGGTTTCTGCCTCAGGAGGAACACGCTAATTCTACACTTGTACCGATAAACATTAACTAAAAACAGAAGCAGGAAAGAAGACAGGTAGTGGGAGCGTAGTAAACATGCCCCAGAAAAATCAGGGTTGCAATGGAACACTTCATTCTCCAGGTGAAATAGTTCCCCCATTGCTGTACATCCCAGACTCTCCATACACACAAAAACCACTTAAAAACCAGGACCTTTCCCACAGATTTTGTGTGGAGCTCACTGGGTAATTCAGCTGCTCTGCTCTGGGTTGCACTTTGGCTGCTGTTCCCTTCACTTGTTGAAACTGGGCAGTCGATGGATCTGCCCTGGCACAGGAGGAACCAGCTCATAGGAGGGAGAAAAGCCAGAAAAATTATCTCAGTCTTCCAGCAGCACGAGCACTTCCTAACACAGCAAACCCAGGGAGTGCAGGGGCTGGGGGGCCAAGCTCCAGAGAAATGTAACGAGTGCCAGACTTTAATTTTGTTGATCAATACTTCACCAGCTTGGGAGCTGTCTATGCCTCTCTATCAGTGCCCTTGTCTCCTGATGCACTTTCTATCAGCACACCTGCAAAAGATTGAAGAGCCAAGAGGAAGTGCAAATTAAACACACACAGGAATTGGGTACAGATCCAGCTACACCTGACTGGGGGAGTGCATTGGGGTGGAAATACAACAAAGCACTGGCTGGAGGCCCTTGGAAGTGGGAATTTAGGGACAGATGGGATTTTCTGTAGATTCTGAAAGTTGTGGTTTCAGATGTCTCGTGCCCTGTACAGAATCACAGGAACACAGACAAGGAGAGGTTGCAAGGGACCTCCAGAGAGCATCTGGTCCAACCCAGATGGGACACCTGGAGCTGCATGGCCAGAA